GCTAATTATCAGAGTAAGGCTTTTCAAGGCTAGGTTTGAGGTAATTAGACCAATCTGCAAAAGTAGGCAATCATCTGCAAAAATTAGGCAATCAACTTAAGGACATATTGGATGCCTTGAATTTTGGAGGCAGTAATCCCAGACAACCACCACCCATCGATTCTGTTCAGGTTGTTGTCCCTTTAAATTCGACTCGAGTTCCAACCTCAATTTGTTGTTATAGTCGTCATAATGACTATAATGGTTACAAAGTTAAAGTGGAGATTCATGTTTTCAATCGAAGTTTAAATAATGATGATCATGAATATGTCGGAGACGACGAGGAAAATGAAGAGTACATTGATGAAGTGTGTGGAAAAGAACAAGGAGATCTTGTGTTTATTGTGCAGAAAATTTCATATTCGTTCAAACAAGAAGAGTTGACTTTGTAAAAAAAAAAAAAAAAAATCTTCCACGCCAAGTGTCAAGTTAGTGATGCTATTAACAGTCTGATCATAGACAGTTGTAGCTATGCAGTTGTGAAAATCTTATTAGCTCTTCTCATCAAGCAAAGCTGTCCATCATGAAGCTTTTGGATCATTCAAAGCTGCCAGTCGAACCATATCCAACTATTTATCAGATTGGTTGATTAAAAATGATACGTCTATTCTAGTGACTCAAATTTGTAAAATTGATGTAGATTTCGTACATAAGGGTAGAGAGAATTATTACAAGCTCAAGTGAAAGGATAAAGAAATTACAGCTCCACCAATAGAGAGGGCACTAAATGCGTCTAAAGTGGAAGGGAAAGCTTTTCTGGCTATTACAAATTCAGTTAGTAGGTAGGTTTTCTTCCGATGAGCCTTTGAATCCTTACGACAACCCAATGTAGAATTATTTTGAAGTGGAAGGGAATAAATAATGCGGGACAATTACAGAAGAGAATCATAAACTAATTATAAAATAGAAATAAGGAGGATCCATAAGAATGTTCGTAACTTTTAACTTGGTTGTCAATTATCCGTGAGTATAATTAGAAAGCGGTTTTCTGTTTTGCACATTTTTGTCGGTGTTGTAAAATAATTTGAATAGCTTCCTCGTAAATAATCATTTCTCTTCCCTATTGAGTAATAAAATATCAGAAAGCAGCCGGAGATGCTATCGAATATCTCAAGCTCAGTACTTGATGTTACCTTCCTTCATATGTACAACTTAATTCCTGGTGGGTGAAACTCTCAACAATTTTTGCCTACAAATCACTGCATTTCCCCTTGGGGTTGGGGGGGGGGGGGGGGGAAAAAAAAAAAAAAAAAAAAGAAATTCCAAATTTTTTTTTTCAGCATCGAGACTTCGATGTGGGTGTGGTGTGTGTGCGTGGGTCTGGTAGCATGTGCGATGGCGGTAATGGTGTGTGGCGGCGACCGTGACAACGATGATGTTGCGGTGCTTGTGGACTATGAGTCCTAATTGTGGTGTTGGTGTGTGGTGGCGATGATTTGGGGCGGTTATAGTGGTTGTGGACTGTGACTCGTAATCGTGGTGTTGGTGTATGGCGAGGACAACAGTGTCAATGAAAATTGTGACCGTGACTCGTATTTGTGACTTACAATCGATTAAGTTGTGACAAAAAAATTAATCGTGACCAATTAATCCAATAATTTGCAACAAGTAAATGAGCAGTGACCAATAAAAGTGGTTGTCGACAAGTTGTGGTGGTGGTTACAGATTATTTGGTTGATTGTTACCATTAAATTGGTTAATGTGTGACCAATAAACAATATGTGATCAATGAAAAATATAAAATGTGACAAAGAAATAATGTGTAACCTAAAAAATTAATAATTTGTGACTATTTAATAAGTTGTGACCTATAAATTTTTTTATTCGTGACTTAAAAATAATATGTAATCTATAAAATTTTCGATTTGTGACCGAAAAATAAGTTACGACCAATAATTTGATAATTTGTGACTAAAAATTAATTCGTGACTGATTTATTAGATAACTGTGACAAAAAATTGTGACCTAAATATATTTAATTAATAAAATATATATTTAACAAATTAATTTATAAATAAATTTTAAAAAATCTGATTTTTGAAACTTCTAACCATTTTTCTTAATTTTGAAAAGGGGTATAGAAATGAATTTTTCCCTATGTTTTTCTTGGCAAAAATATGTTTCTACGCTCTTTCTAATTATTGGGCTGTACGGCCTAATTTCTTGCTTTTACTTTTTTCAATAATCATATATTTTTCGGTAGAAATATTATATTGGGGGAAGGTTGATTTTTGGGCTAGATGTAAGATCAGTCTTTCTAACAATTGGTTTTATAGTTGCTCATTTCTCTGTTTTCTACATCTAAGTTGCAAGAAAATTGATGGATGGTTTTACTAGCAATTGGGAAATCTTAATTATGATTTTAGTATGTTTTCGCGTTACATGTAAGTCCTGCAGTTTTCATTTAAAGATTTTATGTTTGTTTTTTGTGTTTCATGGCCTAACCTGTAAAATCTCACAATTCAATAAGAGATCGTTAGAAGAGAAACTTATAAACCAATTGAAAAATAGAAGACATAAAAAGGATATACAAGAATGTGTGGAACTTTCAACTCGGTTGTCGAATTTTCATCCGAGAGCACAATCTGAAAGCCTTTTTCAATTCTACACATTTTTGTCACGTGATGCAGTCAAACTTTTGAGATCAAATTTTATTATTTAGGGGTCCATTTAGCGTTCTTCTATTTTGATACAGTTTTATGGATATTTTGTTATTTTATTTATATTTTAGTTTATTCATATTTATATTACAATTTCTTTAGTTTTACCTCATTGCATTATTATAGTCATCATAATGACTATGATGGTTACAAAGTTAAAGTGGAGATTCCCATTTTCAATTATAGTTTAAATGATGATGACCAGGAATATGTCGAAGATGAGGAATAGGAGATAAAGAGTACATCGATAAAGTGTATGGAGAAGGATAGAGAGATCTTGTATGTATTGTACAGAAAATTTCATGTTCGTCCAAACAAAAGGGTTGACTCAATGTAATAAAATCTTTCAGATGATTCAAATTTAATTGATGTTGATGTCGTAAATAAGGATAGAGAAAATAATTACAAGTGGAAAGATAAAAAAAATTACAATTGCACTCTAAAGTGGAAGTGAAAGCTTTCCTTTCTATTACGAATTCAGCCAGTAAGTTCTCCTCCAATGAGCCTTGTATCCTGACAACAACTCAAGGCCTAGTTGTTTTGAAGTGGAAATGAATAATTGGGGAATAGTTAGAGGAGAAAATCATAAACCAATTGAAAAGTAGAAGAAACGAGGATCTACGAGAACACATGTAACTTTCAGCGAAATTTTCGTTAGTGAGTACTATCCAAAAGCCTTTTTTGGTTCTGGACAGTTTTGTCAAGTGATGTTGTCAAAATTTCGAGGTTAAATTTTGTTGTTTAGAGGACTGTTTTAGCGTTTTTCTTCCAATCGCATTCTCTGCTCCAATTGTTGTTTTTGTTTCTGTGTTCCTGATTTATCCACTAGGTCAGTGAGTCAGTTCAAGGGTATTTTCATCATTTTTGTTGTATTTTATTCAAATTTGTTTTACAGCTTTTAGTTTTATTTGAATTTATCTGTAGAATTAGATTTTCAATATGATTACGAATTTTTAGAGTCCATAAATACGTGTTAAGATTTTAAAAACATTACATTCATTTTACTTGATTAATTAGATATATCAGTTTTTCTATCGCTATTTCGTAGATTCCCAATATATTTCACGCCCGTTCGAGTAAATTCAAGTATATACTCGTTCATGTGTTACGAACAAGACTATTTTATTATTGTTCACATTTTCTTCTTGCGTCATGTGGTATCAAAGCAATGGCTAATTATCAGAGTAAGGCTTTTCAAGGCTAGGTTTGAGGTAATTAGACCAATCTGCAAAAGTAGGCAATCATCTGCAAAAATTAGGCAATCAACTTAAGGACATATTGGATGCCTTGAATTTTGGAGGCAGTAATCCCAGACAACCACCACCCATCGATTCTGTTCAGGTTGTTGTCCCTTTAAATTCGACTCGAGTTCCAACCTCAATTTGTTGTTATAGTCGTCATAATGACTATAATGGTTACAAAGTTAAAGTGGAGATTCATGTTTTCAATCGAAGTTTAAATAATGATGATCATGAATATGTCGGAGACGACGAGGAAAATGAAGAGTACATTGATGAAGTGTGTGGAAAAGAACAAGGAGATCTTGTGTTTATTGTGCAGAAAATTTCATATTCGTTCAAACAAGAAGAGTTGACTTTGTAAAAAAAAAAAAAAAAAAATCTTCCACGCCAAGTGTCAAGTTAGTGATGCTATTAACAGTCTGATCATAGACAGTTGTAGCTATGCAGTTGTGAAAATCTTATTAGCTCTTCTCATCAAGCAAAGCTGTCCATCATGAAGCTTTTGGATCATTCAAAGCTGCCAGTCGAACCATATCCAACTATTTATCAGATTGGTTGATTAAAAATGATACGTCTATTCTAGTGACTCAAATTTGTAAAATTGATGTAGATTTCGTACATAAGGGTAGAGAGAATTATTACAAGCTCAAGTGAAAGGATAAAGAAATTACAGCTCCACCAATAGAGAGGGCACTAAATGCGTCTAAAGTGGAAGGGAAAGCTTTTCTGGCTATTACAAATTCAGTTAGTAGGTAGGTTTTCTTCCGATGAGCCTTTGAATCCTTACGACAACCCAATGTAGAATTATTTTGAAGTGGAAGGGAATAAATAATGCGGGACAATTACAGAAGAGAATCATAAACTAATTATAAAATAGAAATAAGGAGGATCCATAAGAATGTTCGTAACTTTTAACTTGGTTGTCAATTATCCGTGAGTATAATTAGAAAGCGGTTTTCTGTTTTGCACATTTTTGTCGGTGTTGTAAAATAATTTGAATAGCTTCTTCCCTAAAAAAAAAGAAAAAAAAAAGGAGGAAATTCCAAATTGGGTCACTCTCGACTTAAAAAGATGTTAATTATTGTTGTTTATTCCCCTAATGATTGCACCAAATTGGGATGAAATAATATTTCACAATTACAGTAATTGATTGTATGACTGTAACGTGCCAAACATGCATAAACAACTAATCACTAAGCGCTTCATAAGTTCATACACATTTGCTATGAAAATGGAAGTGAAGTTCTACCAGACATCAATCCTTACTTTTATTTGATGCATAATGGCTAAATGAGTCGCAATGGAATTATCTTATCAAAGATCAATCCCATCCTTTTTGAAGAAATCATTTAGAGAAAGCATCAGGAATTTCCTCATTACCATTATCACTAGGAACATCAGGCCCGCAAGGAATATTTCCATGATGATCAAACGTATCTGTTGAACCAATCATACTGCAAAATGAAAGTCGAAAAACTGAGAAGAGAAAAGAAACAATGTAAGCACGAGTACTTATATTTCTAAAATCCCGTACCTTTTGTCAACAGTAACCACTGATCGAAGTTCACAATTCTTAAACCTGCAAATAAAAAATTGCCATTTGTCATTTCATACACTTGATTACTACCCCATAAACATCTTACTGTCCAAAATTCAACATAATCCATTTTATTGACTATTGATTGGTCAATAGCTCAATTCTTATTCAAAATAACATCTTATACTGCTAGTGATATTTTACAGAAAGATACTGCTCCAAAAGAAAATAGCACAACTTACGGTCTGCATATTTCACTCTTCATTGTTGGATGACAATCATTTCCAAATGCACCGAGTGTATGAATTAGAAATCCACTATGAGTAACGACTGCTATTTCTTTCTCCTTCCGTGTCCACAGCCTGCACTAATTGCAGAAATTAAGATACAAACTTTTATCTTTATATCCCGCTCATGGCATGTTTGCAGTAGTAAACAAGACTAGACGTAGTTTACCACACAAGATTTTAACTTCTTTTTCTTCGTTAATATTGCCTAGTACTAAACAAACCACATTACAAAACAAGGAATCAATTTTCTACACATTCGATTTTCTGAGGGTTAGTTTTTTTCCTTTAAGACATCATCATACCAACAATAGACAAGAGGTTACCAGTTCAAAAACTTCAGACCCCTGGCAGCAACTTCTTCATTCGCTTCTCTGACATCAGGCTTCCACAGAATGTCATCATCACTTTCTATCTGTACAAAAGCATTAAGTCGAAAGAATGGATTTACACTATGATCTACGGTGAGTCAGGCTTAAGACATAACAATATATAAACAATAAGCTATTTGAAAAATCAAATTGATGGTGGAAAACATCTACTTGCCAGTGAAAAATCGATTGCAGGGAAAAGTTGCTTGTAATCTGTTATACTTCTTCTCTTATCGCACCAATGAACCCCCTGCATTTTATTTTTTATTTTGTTTATCGCAAAGTCAATAAATTTATTAACTGGAATCAATGTGAATAGCAGACAAAGAATGGTGTAGACAATCTATCAGATATGCTCTACGGGTTCTAAAGTAGCAGCATATGCAGCTCCATCAATAAAAGTATATATCTTAGTTCTAATACTTATATCTGCTAGGGTACGTCCACGAAAATAGCTGGTTATGGAAATTTTCTGATTTTTGAAATATACGAGAAACAAAGAATATATCATGCATGGTATGTGTCTGAGCAAGTTCTATCCTGGCATGCCCTTATATGATATAACAGGAAAACCAATCAGGATTATCTTATGCATAATCTCTACATAGGAGTAGAAGTGACAACTGGCCATAAAGCCAGCTGTTATAGCAAAACAAAATTTTAGTATACAAGTTTCTTGAAAACAAAATTTTAGTATACACTTTTCTTGATATGTTTGTCAATACAAATTCTAGCAATGTCAAAGTGACTTTTTGTCATTGTCACAAGAAAAAGAGTCGTCTTTCGGCTTCTTTCTAGAGAAGGTTTATCTTACGCATAATTTAATTTCTATTGATGTCCTGTAATCTTTCTGCTGCTAAATGGACAATTTCTCTAATATTGCATCCAATAATTTTCTATTTTGAATATAATTCCAATTCCCATCCAAAAATCTAAAACATAGTAGGACTGTGCCAGCAATTCTAAGGCAAGTTCCTTATCACATCATTGGATCGTAAAGCATCCCAAATACACAAGTCTTGAAGCAACATTAGTATAGCCTCTATGAACCATCTACAGTAAAAACAAGAAATTTAGTTTTTAAGCCTCCAGGGCACATCTCCAAGTGGTAAAAGGGGAGGGTGGAGAAATCCAACTTTGCTTGAAACTGTTGCGTCAAGGGTTCGAATCCTGAAATATGGATTTGGTTCTTGGGTAAGTGCAAGTGTACAAGCAGCCTTCCACCCTGGATCCTTAGAGGCATAACCTGCGATTTACCTCCCTCACGATGCTCCAGGGCAGGGGTGGTGGGGGATCCTTAAGGTTAGGGTTTAACCTTTTAAGAAATTTAGTTTTTAATCATAGGAAGAACAATTTGGGAACTGAGTAGAAGATTGATTGAGGATGTGGAGACTACAAGATAGAAAAAATTTTAAAAAATCATGTCAATAGCATCATTAAATTATAAAGAAAATTTATGCTTTATTAGATGACGCATACCAAATGTTCGCGACAAAGTTCCACTGCTACAAAAGGAGGGGAGTTTAAACTTGAAATTGCAGGACGGCTACTCTTCCCCACATTTTCCACCATTAATGGAGCTACATCAATTCCATCCATATAACCTTGCCCCCCAAATACTGCAACAGCTGTCTGCATTGTCCTGCAAAGAACTCGAAACACTTCAATTGCCAATATTAGCAAAAACATGAATTCTATTATTTTAACCAATCGAACAGTCAAAAATTAATTACCTAAGATTCCCACTCTCACTTGATGCAAACATAATAAGTTCAAATCTCCCAAATATTATCTGTATTCCATTCCTCACTATCTCATTCTTTATCTCTCTTGATGATGCTTCTAAAATTACTACTTTTCAACAATGGCACCAAATTTTGTATTTTATGTTTCAAGATTTACCATTCAAGTTTCTATTTTCTCATTTCCATCTTTCATCGGAGTGATTAAAATATAAATAAATAAATCTATTAAGATACACAACCATATTTTTCCCTGTATATGTATCATGCTAATCATTTTTACAAGAACTATGAAAAAGGTTTGAATTGAAAATAGTAAGAACCTCAAGAAGGATTAGCAACACACAATGCATACCTTAGCAAAGGGGAAACAACAACTAATTCAATCCTCTTTGAAAGACCAGATGAATGAACATGCTTTCGGAGATTGTCCACCTGTCACAATACAAAAGAGTTATTCCTTTTACCAGGTCAAGTTTAAGCATAAAATGCTTCTCAGCAGCAAAATTTAACTCATCCCAAAAACTTATATTTGAAATATTTAACCACAACAATCTCTCGTTCAATATGTATGAACGAGTATGGCTACCATCCATTAAAAGAAGCAATATTCACATTTGCAGTACCCCCAAAATACAGAAAACATATAGTAACTATCACCTGTTGCCATCCAAGAGGAGTAAGGTGTGCATCAAAAAGTTCGGGAGACAAGTATGCACTGTGGTCTAATTCTCCAGCTACATTGTGGATTCCCTGAGCATGTCTTACCTATACGTATGCATAAATATAAGATATGTTAAAGAACATCGATATAAAATGCACAATGCTTCTAAATAAACAATATATCACAATTTCAAAAACAAAAACAAGTGCTGGGAAGGTAAGGACAAACCAAGTGAATAGTTTTACAGTGGTGTAATGGGTATAAGCCTTGACTTGACACAGTATCCATATCTGCAATTGAATCATAGAAATAACATAGATCTGTAAAGAAGTCCTTATTAGAGTCATGAAATATGCTACAGATGAAATATGCTACAGAAATTGAGCCCACCAAAATAAAAATAATCTCTGGAAGACAGAACCTTATTAAAGTCGTGAAATATGCTACAGAAACTGAACCAGAAATTATGTAATGGGAGGGAAAGGAACTCCTTGACTATTTAGCAGTTCACAGAACAAAGATAAGAATATATTCTTGGTAGAACAAACTTTATTATGATGCAAAATATCTCTCTAAGTTCCTTTTCTAGCAAGTATCAAAATGTTAAATCAATTTGGTATATTTTTAAAAATAAATAAGTTCGTTTTCACAAAAGGATTATTGAGATTTAATCATTTTGTACAAAAATGGTAACAAATAGAAATTAGCTATCATTATATTAATAGAAATTAGCAAAAAGAAAAAGTTTCGGGAAAATAAGAAAGACGAATAGTTTCAATATGTAATATAGTTACTAATATGTTATAAACACAAGAGTTAACGAGGAAATTTACATTCAGAACATGTTTAGGAAAGCTTATAATTGCTTATAAGCAGATCAAACTATTTTTTATCCCACATTTCTTAAACCACAACTTTTGCCTATTTTTTCACCACATTATTTGGGACCCATTACTTATAATCACTTAAAAGCTCTTTCAAAAAGAAATGAGGCATGGCATGAGTAATAAAACATTGCTCTTCTATAATCACGTGCCAAGAGTACAGCAAGTAACCGTTTATGATAAGAAAATTATTCAAGGATATCATATGTCAAAAGAGAAGAATGATAATATTGGGCATGCTAGAATTTATCGAAGAAATGGGCTAATGAAATACATCTGCAACAAATCAATCAAAATATTTTTTAACTTAGCACAAGAGGAAATGGCACTAAGGTTGTTTCTTGCACTAAATTCTGCATCCTCCAGTAGAGCATATTTTGGCTTTATACCCTCTCAATTCAATTCTCAATGAATATTTAATTATTCCTGACGACTTGATGCATAAAACTAACAGAAATAAAACTTTCTCCAACCACAAAAGTAGTAAGATAATTAAAGAAAATTCAATTAAGACATTTGTTCCACTATTAGTAGATCTCGTATCCACTCAAGCTATATCTCTGTTTCTTCCTGATCTTATCTCATTCACCAACAATATAACAAGTTATTCTTGGAATGAATTATAAAGCCAAAAACCCAGTGGTGATATATCATGGAGATGAAAACATGACAGCAATAAAACGAAGAGCAAAACAAAAAGAACAAAAAGGAAATCATCTCCCTATATCCAAAAAAATAAAATAAATAAATAAATAAAAATAAAATTCAGAGACCAATAAAACACACAGTACCACCGCCCACCAAGATTCAGCAAAAATAAATCACATATGCATATACACACTTGATTACATGATCATTCAATAGTAGGTTCGAATGTATCATAAAGATAAAAGAGGAAATATATATTTAGGAATGAAAAGAGGAAATATATGGTGTTTTAGTCAAATACATTAAAGCAATGTAAGAAGCAAGCATCTTCCACTAGTCTACACCATCAGTTTGCTTATTACTAAGAAATGGCTGTTGAGCAATTATTTGCGAAGGGATTAAATAAAAAACTAGAGATGCAAATAAAATTATGTGAGGAAAACGCATGTAAAAGAGATGGATAATATTGAGCAACATAAGTTTTATCCAAGACAAATGCAATTCATTTCCAGCAAATCAAAGAAACAAGTCTACGACTTGCTACAAATCTGCCACTTTCCCCATTCTAAATTCAAAAGCATTTCAAATTAGGACGTTATATGGTCGAGGTGTAGTTATATATATAAGTAATCCTTGTCCATGCTCACGGTCATAGTTAAAAATGATACTGAACAACCCAACTCGCAATAAATTTAGTTAAAATGTAATTCCAAATAATTTTAGAGTTAGAGCTAAAGAAAATTAATTCTCTATTAACTGCAGGCAAAAAAGATCTTTTGGCAACATGGTTTTCTAGTGTACTAAATGCGGAATCAACAGAGCATATTCTGGGTTTATACCCTCTCTGCATAAATATAATTCTCACTTGATATACTCATTCCTTACAAGTAGAATATAAAAAATAAATAAATAAATAAATTCTCCACATTCATAAGTAGTATAATAACAATCCTGAAATTTCAAAATTAAAAATTTCAATCGTCTGTAGGATTTTCACTATTTGAACTTCTGCGTATCAAACCAGAAATGCGGTTTTAACGGAGTATCATAATTCAATAAAAATAACTGGCTAGTCTCAAAATAAAAGATAAACAGAAAAAGCAAACCCAGATTAAAAAAATAAAAAATAAAATGACGACATGATACATTACCGCCAAATAAAATCAAGCCCACGGCAGACCAATCAAAATCCGGCACACCAGGATTCAGCAAAACAATCACAAACTCATATACACACATAAATTACCCCCAATCAGAGACGTACAAGTCTGCACCTAACAGTAAGTATCCCACATCAAAGGCCAGCCCATTGGTACCTTCCCTTTATGAGCGGGATTGTTACACTAAACATATACATGTACGTAAAATTATAAACAGAGAAAGATGATCATACATACCGGGGAGAGAAAAGGAGCAACGAATAGACGAAGAAATGGGAGATGAAAATGGTACAATTCCAGAGGAAGATGGTTGGTGCCTCTTAATGTGTGTAGGAAAATGGTTCGTCTTGGAACTGCAAAACGGAATTGTAATAAGGTTTGGTAATCCTATAAATAAATTATTGGTCATAACGGCGTTGGTTAGTTTTTAATTTCTCTATATGTCCGCCGCTTGGAATGGTACCAGTCAATAGATCGTGTCCACGTTAAATACTATAACCGTCCATGTGAAGAAACGTGCAGTTTCGTCTCTCTCTACCGACTTTGAAAACACGAGATTTTTCAACATCAAAACGCTTGATTGTAGAGATGGAAAATTTTATTTTGTTGAATAGAGGTCGGCCTATTCGATCTTGGTCCAAGGGGTGGTAACGGGGTGTGCATGGGACGGATCCGCCATTTTCATTCCCGTCTCGTCGAGTACTTTTATTATCTTACCGCGTACCTGATTAAAGTGCGATTGAATGAGTTCAAGGAGGGACAGGGCAGGTTCCCTATCCCATTTATTTTTTATGTTCTTAATTGGTGAATGTTATTTTTTTTTTTATAAATTTGCTAAAAGTAATTTATGTTTTCTTTAAAAATGAAGATAAACTTATTACTTTTATTTGATAAAAATTTATATCTGAAATGAACTTTAAACGGCGTGGTGACTATATTTCTCATACCAACCTCATACCCGTTTTGGAACAATGATCCTCGTGCTCGTACCTGTTCCATTTACCTGGTTAGACGGGTAATCCCCGTCCCAAATGAGGTGGGGCCTTGAATATTGGGTTGAACAGATTTTTTTGTCATCCTTACATTGTCCCTTTAAATATTAGGTCTGGTCAAGTTTGAACTAAACCTCTACTACCATTGGCAGTGACCCATTGGTAGAGTACGTTCTTGTCCAAAAAGATAGGGTTATTTAAACCTCCCCTTCGCTTCTAATCATTTTCTTATGAAATATGTCCATACGACAAACCGTAGTTTGTTGCCAATTTTATGAAAAAAAATCTTAGGGCGTTCTTTGTTTGAATATATTTTTCATGTAAATGTTCTTTTCTTTTTTTTCAAAATTTTCTATTTTGCAGTGTTTGATCGACATTTTTCCATGGAAAAAATAATTTTTTTTATGAGGGTACATTTTTATTTTCTAGGTCTAACAAGTTATCACTTCCTGAGTTGAAAAAGTACAATATTTTTTAGGTTAAAAATTAAATCAATCAAACATTTTTAATCAACAATTTTCATCAATTGCCTAGAACTTATTTTCTTTATGGGGAATAAATTTTTATTTTCTAGGTAATTCACACTTTTCAAAAACTCAATATTACTCTCTATTCTAACAAGTTTTCACTATCCAAGATGAAAAGGTACAACATTTTTTAGGTTAAAAATTAAGTTAGTCGAACACTTTTAAGTAACAATTTTCATGCAAATGGAATTACCTAAAATTTATTTTCTTTCCATACAAGTTCGATGTTTGTAATCAAACTCATCTTTATGTCCATACAATGAAGTAGTTAAGCACAAATTTCAAAATTTATGCGCTATCAACATACCAATCACATTAGCAAAAGACCATAAATGACTTGTGCAATAAGGTGTAGTTACCCTTCTTCCATTCATCATGAAGATGGCTTGTAATTTTCGATGTTACAAAATATTCTCAACTTGGATAATATAATTATGAGCACTTTCGGTTGTTGGTAGGAAATGCCTTGCAATAAATCGAACGAAACCAGAACTATGTAACCTATAGAAGATTCCATGTACAAGGTGACCAAACTTGGCTCCAAAATACAGTAGAATGCAATAGTTTTTTATTGTCACTACATTTTTTTTCTTTTTTTACGTATCTTTAAATAATTTTCTCATTTATCAAAATAACTATAAATGGCGGGACATAACTAACCCTATAATTTTCTCCTATTACCATGCACACCACATTCCCACCACCGATAATCTTTTCATCCCCTCGCCCCCCCCCCCCCCCCCCCCCCCCCCCCGACCATAATTCTAGATGGTTCTATGGCACAGCATTTTCTTATAGGTTTGGCCATTACTTTCACAATATTCTCTAACTCACGATTCTCACATGCTCTCTTAAATATGCCACATGCTACCTTCCGTATGTTTCCATGTGGCCAAGAGGATTTTCCCCCCCCCCCCCCCCCCCCCCCCCCTCTCTCTCTCTTAAAAACTTTACTTATCCCCCTTAATGTCTGTCTCCATGCCACCTCTCCTGTCCAACCCAATTCTTCCTCGTTAATCTCCAACTTGAGCACTATCCGTAAAAAACTCATTGGTCCATCAAACAAAGAAAGAAAAAGGAAATTCCAATCCAAAGCTTTCATCATCTCTAGAATTAAAGAACCCAGTTGCAAACAACCCATCAAAACCCAATTAGAAGAATAAAATCAACAGCGGACAAAAACAAAATTAATAAAATTAAATTATTGTTCCACGACAAACAAAAACCTAATTTTTTCTTAACTTTTTCGTCGATGGCAACAAACTGCTTCCACGTGTTGATTGGCACTGTGTATCCACCCCGTACATATAAAAGTTGATTAAGTATCCAGGTTGCTCAAGGAAACAGAATTTAGGGAACTAGTCCACTATACACCTTCAGTGTGATGTTCAGCAAGCCACCAGTCAGTAGGAATGAAGATATTCTTGATGCTTTATCACTAGTTTTGTACACCTGTTTCGCGCGTGTTCGTCGCTAACAATTAAAAGGGATCATACGATTGTGTAAAAGACAAACCTTTTGAGACAAAATCTCAAAAAGGGGTGTTCTTTATTGGCGATGTCTTTACAATCGGAAAGTAAAAACAGAATGCCTCCAAGGGGCGCAAGCACACGAGTTACTGAAAGAAGTGTTTAAATCTAAACTAAGAAATTTAAAATTACATGTTCTCTGTTCGAGAGTTTTTTGATTCAGGGTCTTTTGCTCTATGTCTTTTCTTCCTTTTATACTCCTTGGATGATCTTTTTGTGATCAACTGCCTAAAAACTGCTTGATCGTTCTATAATTGCCTACTTTCCTCGTAATGGTCAACTTGTCATGGAACTGTCTTTTTTAACTGCTGCCATTACTCTTCGTCGTTCAACCGTTTTCGATTGAATTCCTTAAATCGTGGAACGTGATAGGGTTGCTTAATAACTGCTTTGATAACTGCGCTTCTTGATAACCACAACACTTCATGTTTGCTAAGACCATGGGCGACTCGAAAGTTTGGGCGAGAATAGAGTAGCAGTTCTGGGCGACTGCATGGCACTCCATTCGCTCAGATCCTGGGCGATTTGCAAGCTTGGGCGATGGTGTTACCGCGTTCCTGGGCTTCCCTATTTGGGCCTTCATCCTGAATTGTCTTATTGTGCTTCATTCTTTGGGCTATCTGATTTTGGGATCTTCCCATTGGGCTTCATTCCTTGGGCCGTTCAATTTGGGCCGAATTTTTATGTGGCAACAATTACCCCCCAATATGGCAGAATTAATACCAATTATTAAATTTTGCCATATTCACTTTTGTGTTTCCAGCAACATTCG